CCTGCTCCTCATCCTCCTCCTCCTCCCGCTGCCCCCTCCTCCCCTCCCTCCCCGTTCCTCCCGTCACCCCCCTCACTTTGCCAAACCCAGTACAGCGCTTCGTGGCCCCATACGGAGCTCCACCGAAGGCCACAGTACGGGTGCCCGCATGCGTCCGCCACATCCATTACAGCGCTTCGTGGCCCCATCGGGAGTCACCGAAGGCCCCAGTGGGGGTGCCCGCATGCGTCTGCCACACCCAGTACAGCATCCCGTGGCCCCATAGGGAACTCCACCGAAGGCCCCAGTGGAGGTATCCGCATGCGTCCGCCACACCCAGTACAGCGCTTCGTGACCCCATAGGGAGCTCCACCGAAGGCACCACTTGGGGTGACCGCATGCGCCCGCCACACCCAGTACAGCGCTGCGTGGCCCCATACGGAGCTCCACCGAAGGCCCCAGTGGGGGTACCCGCACGCGTGCACCACACCGATTACAGCGTTTCGTGGCCCCATCATAGGGAGCTCCACCGAAGGCCCCACTGGGGGTGACCGCATGCGTCAGCCACACCCAGTACAGCGCTTCGTGGCCGCACAGGGAGCTCCGCCGAAGGCCCCAGTGGGGGTGCCCGCATGCGCCCACCACACCCAGTACAGCGCTTCGTGGCCCCATAGGGAGCTCCACCGAAGGCCTCAGTGGAGGTGCCCGCATGCGTCCGCCACACCCAGCACAGCGCTTCGTGGCCCCATAGGGAGCTCCACCGATGGCCTCAGTGGGGGCTGAAGGCCCCACTGAGGATGCCCGCATGCGTCCGCCACACCGAGTACAGTGCTTCGTGGTCTCATACGAAGCTCCACCGAAGGCCCCAGTGGGGGTGCCCGCATGCGTCCGCCGCCACACCCAGTACAGCGCTTCGTGGCCCCATAGGGAGCTCCACCGACACACTCAGTACAGCGCTTGGTGGTTCCATAGGGAGCTCCACCGAAAATTCGCATACGTCCCAACCATTCGTCCCCCCCTGCTCGCACTGTCTCGCGCCTCGTTATTCCTACGGCGTATTGCCTATGAGAGCAGAGGGTATACCGCATGCGCTGTCCGTGGTTTGCGTGTCCTCGTCCTTTGTCTCATCTCAATCGCGGTTCTCGCAGCTGTATATGGTTGTGTCGTTCGTCAGGCTATGGTGTAGTGTATATGCGTCGTCTCAGCATTAGCAGCTTTATTTCTGAAAGCACTAATAATAGTGCTAGTGTTGCCAAAAATAGCATTAGCATCCGTCGTATTCGCATGCTGCATATTACTATGAATGGAATTACTATTAGTAGTAGTCGTGTCATCAATATGAGTGGGCGTGGCTCCCGCGTTGATAGTAACAGCTATAGTAATCAAATAACAATTCGATGATAGCATTAACGACCATACGAATAGGTAGAAGCATAAGTGTGGTTATGTGTATTCAACTGGTTATTTACATGAGTAGCGATGCTGTTATTACTACTAATAGTGTTAGTATATGCAGTAGTATGAGCCGTAGTAACAGTAGAACTAGCAATGGCAGTTCTTCGATTGGTAGTAGTACTACTCGTAATAGTGCGCGTCTTTTTTAGCGTCCGTACGATTGTGTTTATGAGTGGTGCGTTTCTGATTCGCCTGTGAATTAGCATTCGTCTGTTTAGTCGCCTTACTTGTATCCTTAGTATACCTCCTAGTAGCAATATTCATATGAGTGGTGTTAATATTGTGGTTCGCCGTCTCGGTACTACCATGATTAATTCGCACTTCTATTATCAGTATGCTTAGTGCCATGAGTCTTCTTGTTTTTATTATTATCCCTATCCGTATCCTTCCTAGGATGAGTATTTGTCCTGCTCCTCCTCCTCCTCCTCCTCCTCCTCCTCCTCCTCCTTCTCCTCGTCCTCAATTAAGCACAACGACGGGTCTTCTCCTCCTCCTCCTCCTCCTCCTCCTCCTCCTCCTCCTCCTCCGCCTCCTCCTCCCCTCCCCCTTCTCCCCTCCCCCTCCTCCTCCTCCTCCTCCGCCTCCTTCTCCGCCTCCTTCTCCTCCTCATTCCTCCACCGCCCGCCCCATGTCCCGAGCTTGTGACAGGGTCATCAGCTCGTCGGTGTGGTTGTCGACGTGGCCTTCGTCGTGGTCGTCGTCGTCGTCCTTCTGGGTCGGCGGCACGGGCCGTAAGGCCTGCAGAATCATTGATGTTCCACTGGTGTTTGAAGGATTTTCGCATTCTCGCCTTCTCGGGCTTCCGTCAGCTCAAGATGGCCCAAGAAGCCTCCAAGATGGCCTCAAGAGGCCACAATGAGAGGCCCAAGATGGCACAAGAGGACCCCATGATGCCCCGAGCTGGCTGTAGAAGGCTTCCAGAGGGAACCAATGCGGCCCCACAGGGCCCCTCGACGGCCCAAGACGGCGCCAAGAAGGCCCCACGACGGGCCCAAAACGCCCATCATACAGCCTCGAGGGCCCCATACAGCCCAAAAAAGCCCCAAGAAGGCCCAAGAGGGCCCCA